AGAGGAGGATCAGGGCGACCAGCCCTGAGCCCACCAACCCAGCACAGCTCCCCCAGCCCTGCTCGGGACCATCCTGGGTGGCTTTCTGCATACTCACATCCGAATCCATCTCGGGATACTTCCTCCCTTTGCTCTTTCCCAAGCATTTTGTTTTCCCTCCATCCAGAAGCTGACACCAGAATCCTTTCTTCGGATCAAACCTGTGAAGCGAGAGCTCTGCCTCACCCCTCTCACCCCTCACACCTTCCACTGGCAACCACGCTGCCTCACGGCCCCACTGCTGCCCAGCCCTGCACAGGGGCACTTCTCCACCTCGTTTAATCCTCAGCCCAGCTAACGTCTCGTTACTGATCCCCCGGTACAGGTTCCCCATGCAGCCTCACAGTAAGCAGCCCACCCAACAAGGTTCACTCATCACCACATCACCCTGCTGAGGGAATGTGGGGTCTACATGGGTTTAATTATTATTTTCTGTGGCATTTTTGGCCCTGGATGCCCTCAAGAGCCCCGCAGCAGCTGGGTGCAGACTCAGAGCAGCCACATATACAGACAAGCCCTGTGCAGAAGGAAATTATTATTGTTCTAGGAGCTCTGGAGGTTCCTGCTTCCCACAGTGAGCTTTAATGTCTGGAAGGCTCAGAGCAAGGTGACACTCGTGGAGGTGCCACATGGCCAGCAGCAAGAGCTGCTCTCTGCAGTGTGTGCACGAGGAGTCGGGGTGCTGGGGCTCATCACTGTCACAGGAAGCACAAATGCACCCCTGAACTCTGCTCCCAGGTTGCCCAGGGTGACACCACTGTCCCCACCGTGGTCTCTGGATAAGCACAGCAAACTGGGGTGCTTGTTGACTGTTATTTCTGATTGTAGGTACATGGAGCTGCTGTTCCAGCCTCAGGTGAAACCCTGGTCTCATCTAAACCAGCAGCAGTTCTGCAGTGAGCCCCAGCGCTGGGGGCTGCCCTGGGACAGCATTAGGTGTCCCCAGGGACAACAGCAGGTTGGAAGAAGGAGAAGCTTGGGGAAAGACTCACGCCAGGGTCTTGTGATAATCGATGAAGTTGGTCACGCCGAGGAATTTCTGGACTGTCTCCATCACTTTGGCGGGTTCTGTTCGGAGCAGCTTGCCATCCAGGACCAGGATCTGCAAGGAGCAAGGCAGGGCACTGAGCTGCTGCTGGCTCCCAGCCCTGCTCTCCTGGGGCACAACGAAGCTTTCCCCGCACCTTCTGCCATCTCAGAGCCAAACCTGCCAGCATCCCAGGCAGGGTCTCCTTTTGAATGCTAATGTGCCTCGGTGTTCACTTACACTGGGTGTTGGAAAGTGAAATGCAAATAAAAGCCAGGGCCAGGATCCATCCAGGATCCCAGAGCAGAGTTTAGGCTCAGGGCTGCCCAGCCCACAGCCAGCCAGGATTGCATTACAGCAATTACGCCAGGAGCAGGCAACTCACAGACTTTCTAAGGTTAAATGACAGTGGAAAAATCATTCAGGGACTGAGCCCGTAGACTGCCAGCAGCGCTGTGCTGTGGGTCACAGCGGGGCTGCCATCCAGCCCCCATTTCCCCCGTAGAGAGCTCGAACCACAGGCAGCTGTGCCCGCTGGTTTTGTCCTGCTTCAATGCCGTGGTGACACCAGACAGGACAGCCCCGCGGGGGTCTGTGGCTGAGAGTGGCGGGTGAGCGGTGGCTGCCCCTGCAGAACCACCTACAGCCCTTCACCCCACAGCTCCCTTTCAACCCTGCTTTGCCAGAGGATCAGCAGAAGGACCTACCTGCTCAGGATCAGCACAAGGACATCTTTGCATCGTCCATCACCAACCTCACACTACAAAGCTTTCCTTCTTGAACAACATCTGCCCTCTGCACCTTCCCCGAGTACTTTTACTCTTCTCCCCGTGGTTATTAAGGTATAAAAAGAGCAGCTCCCACAGGAGCACCCCTGCAGCTGACTGGGGACCCAAGCTCTCCTCCCCACACATCCTTGGTTGGGCGAGGGGAGCTCCCCAGGGTGCTCCCATCCCTACCTGGTTGGCGTGGTAGCTGTTCAGCCAGCGCTCGATGTGGGTGGCGTACCAGCCCGGCACCAGGCAGCGGTTCTGCAGGGTCCGGAGCTTCGGAGCAGCCTCCTGTCCAGCCGTGATCACCTCATGGAAGGTGTATTTCAGGGCAACCGGGTCATCATGAGCTCGCTGGTGCTGTCAGGCACAAGAGAGGCAGGTTTGTTCCTGCAGCAACCCAAATCCTGAGCTGCCCACAAGGCATTGCAGCTCCCAGGCCACCACACCGTGTCCTTGCACATCTTGATCAGCTAAAAAGTGCAGCACCCACAGCCACCCCACCTCCCAAACCAAGCTGATGGAGTGAAGCCCACTGCCCCATGGGGCTGCCCAGGCTGAGGGAGAGGCAGAGGTGAGTGGCTCACCTGATACCAGGAGTAGGCTCGATCTGCAGGGTTGATGAGGATGGTGATGACTTTGGCCTTGGAGAGCAGGGCCGCAGCTCGCCGAGGAGCCACTTCTGAGTCAAAGTAGTTGGCACTTTTCTCGAAGTAGAAGTCAGAGGTGGTGTTGGAGGGGATGGGGAAAAACTCCATGTACCTGGGGGAGACACAGCGTGAGGCAGGCAGACAGGCACCACGAGATGTCCCCAGCACCCTCCCTTGCAGGTGACATCTCAAGACACTCTGTACCACACACTAACCCTGCAGGGTCCCCCCAGGTCTGACACACTGCCTGAGGCTCCACAACCTTCTCCAGGTATTTTGGAGGGGCAGGCCTCACCAGATTGCCCAGGCAGACCCCGAAACCAAGGGGTCACAGGTGCATACACATGCACATGCCTTCTGCTGAGGGCACTTCTGAGTCCTGGCAAGTGGCCTTTGCCTTACAGACAACATCTCAGGGACAAGCCATGGCGGTGTGATGGCCTGAAGGCACATGGCAGAGCCTGTGTGGGATTCATCCCACCTTGCAGCACCCAGGTGCCCTCTGCCAAGGGCTTGGTGGCTGCAAGGCAGATGGGAAAGCCCATAGTACCACTGCTCTGGCTCCTGAAGGAACTGGCACTCCCAGCTCAGCCCCCATGACGGGGAGACCTACCAGTCGATGCCCTTGTGATAGTTGTGTCCATTGAAGAACTGTATCTCCTCGAAGGTCTCTGAACTGGGGTAGTTGCTGCTCAGGTCTGGGTGCATCCCCAAGAAGAGATAAAGGGCAGTCGTTCCTTCGGACAGACAGAAACCAAGAGCTGACCTGGGCCAAACCTCCCTCCAAGCTCTGCTTCAGGGCAGGAGGGCTGAGAGAGGCTCTCTGGAGGTGCACAGAGGACCCAGCAAACCTCCTGACATGCTCAAGGCACCGAGGGTGAAGGGAAGCACCTGTTTTTTGAGGGCCAATGATGAGAAGCTTTGGGAACCGGTCACACGTCTTTTCTTTGGACCAAATGTCTTTGTGCCGCTTGTCTTCACAGGGATCCTGAAATGTCGAGTGGGAGGATTAGAGACAGGGCAGCCTGGACAGGACCACAAACCACTGCTCAGCCCCCTCCAGCCCGAGCAGACACGCGGGGAGGCCACACTGCTCAACAGGCAGGGCAAAGGCTGGGGTTATTTCCAGCACTATGGGGCAAAGTCCTTCCTGGCACCACCTGCAGAACCACAAAGAGGTGAAACACCTTCTATTCGCCCCATTCCAGGCATGAGAGTACCTGCCACAGCGGGTCCTTCTCCTCGGAGAAGATCTGGAAGTATTTATGTGCCAGCTGCACAGGAGGCAGCGTCTGCAGCTTCAAGTTGGTCCAGGAGTTGAGGAAGCGGACCAGGTGCTTGAAGGTGTACAAGCCCAGGCGGTCATTGCCGTAATTGGACAGATGGGTCATGAAAATGCTGATCTGAAGGGGAGAGGATGGAGCAGGGATCAGCAGAGCCTCACCCAGTAGCCATCCCATGCAAACAACTCGCATCCTGGCCAAGGATTTTGGGGACATTGCCCACAGCAGCACCAGGGGACGGCTCTGCAAGGGACACCTGTCTGTCTGTCTGTCTGTCCCCAGGCAGCCGGACAGCAGTACTCACGGGGTTGAGGAGCACAGTCAGGAACAGTTCACCCCCGTTGATGATTTTGTCCAGTTCACTGGAACCACCGGGGTACTCGTTGTAGAAGATGGTGTGTGTGAAGAGGCCGCAGGTTTGCCGGGGGAGTACCTGGGGCAGGAGAAAGAGGCATGGATGGAACATCCAGGCTGGGTTCCCTTCCTCCTTCCAAGCAAAAAGGGGGTCCTAAACCCCTCATGGGTCAGGATTGGCTCCACTGCCCCTCATCACCCTTGACTTGAACCTTGCTACCCACAAGGGATGGAAATGGACAGATGAAGAAGCCAAAAAGTGTCCTCACCTAAGCCTCCCCTGTGCAGGATGAGCAGAGGACACAGCCCCCTCAAACAGAGACATCTGAGCTGCCCAGAAACCACCCGCCGAGGTTCTGGGGTTTGGCGGGGGCAGAAGAGGAGAGAAGCACCAGAGATAAAGCCTGGCCACCTACCATGATGCCATTGTGGATGAAGCCACGGCGATAGCGAGCAGGTTTCAGGTGGGGGTACTCCTCTGTGCTCGTCACTTTGATTGACCAAACCTGCTTCCAAGCTTCGTACAACTGCACGTGGACGGGGTACACGCCCGAGTGGTGGGGGGCCACGGCGTACCCCATGTCAGTGGGGATGCCATGCTCCTGCAGAGAAGAGAACAAGGAGTGGGTGACCACAGAGACACCAAAACCACAATGTCCCAAACCAATCTCTCCCCAAGGACCGCCCATTCCCAACTACACATAGTCAATTCGTGCCTCTGGAGAGCAACCAGGCTGTGCCCACACATCATCTCCTAACCAGGGCTGTCTCCAGGAAAGGGAGCCCAGGAGCAGATGTGCTGGGTGGACACTCGCTGCTCTGCGTCACATGGACCATCCTCATCCCTGACATCTCTGCTGTCACCAAGAAAGCAACAGCAGCAAAGCTCTTCTGTGGAGAATGAGGAGATTCATCTACACAGGACTGTTTATATCAACAGATATAAAACAGCTTGGAAATTCTGAGCTGGACAATTGTCCACCCCAAGTAGGGATGGTCCAGTCTCTCTCTAATTACACACCTCTAATTATCATACAATGAATTCAAGTTAGCCTGAAGATCACAGAATCACAGAATGGTAGGGGTTGGAAGGGACTTCAGGAGATCATCCAGTCCAACCCCCCTGCCAGAGCAGAGATGACTCTCTTAGACCATAGGACCCAAACATTATTGCTGGGTCAGGCTCTACTCGTTTGGATTCAACTCAGCTGTGAGCAAACCAGTCGATTACAGCACGGTCTGGTCTCCACGCTGCCTTTATCCAGGGCAGATCAAGGACGGGCCAAGAGGATGGACAACCCCTTATCAAGCTGAAGGTCAGAGCCTGCCTATATAAACCCAATGTGTCCCTGACAGCTTGGTCTGCAGAGGGAGTTTCCATGAGCAGGAGCGTCCTGGCACACATCCACTGCTCCAGGATCCCACATCATGGCCCAGCACTGCACCAAACCACACCAGGCTGAGCACCCAACCCCAGGTTCAGTTAAAACCCAGCACTCTCCAACTCAAGTGGCTGCTTCCTCCAGCAGAACCACGGATCGGACCCCCACATCCCCCAGGTCAGACCTCCACAACCCTGTGGGTCGTCCCTCCACATCCCCCCTGGCCAGGCAACGCGCAGACAATGTCTCCCCTCGAACAGGGACCGGGGCAGCTCGCTGTGGGCTGGTGCAGATAAATCCTTTTGCTCCAGGTACTGGTGTATAAATGGATCTACTCACCCAGCTGCAAACTGGGAGATGTGACTTAATGCCACCAGGTCTTTGCTCTGGCAAGCACAGACCATCACCCAGGTTCCCCAGGAAGCTTCTTCTCCCCGTTTCTCCCATCCTCCCCCCACCACAAGCACCTCCACCGGCAGCATCTTACTCACGACAGCGAATTTCTTGTTTAAGGTCATCTGCTCGGCAAGAACCGACTGGTTGTGGAAGAGGTGAGGCTGCATGTGGCTCCACATGTGGGGGAACCACCAGAACTCCCTCACGTAGGACAGCAGCAGGTCATCACCTTCATCCTCAGCATCGGTACCTGCAGGCACAATGCTCACAGTCACTGCTGGGCATGCAGAGCCACGACAAGCAGCCAGGGCAGAGGGAGGGGGAGTCCCTCTTGGTCACCAGGTGATGGAAGGCAGCAGGTTGGGATGCCCAAGGACTGTCCTGCAACCCTCAGCTTCTCTGAGCAGCAGTTTGTGCCCCAACACCAGCTGTATGGCACCAACACATGAAGCAACACCCTCACCCTCCTCACCCGTGTGGAAGAATTTCCCTGAGTATCCCAGGTTGAAGGTGAAGTTCGGGATGTGGGTGCGCAGCTCATTCTGCGTGTTGAACAGCGCCTGGGAGAGGGGGAGAGAAAGCAAGATGTCCTCAGCACACAGCCATGGGGATAACTGCCCAGGACAAGGACCCATGTCCCCAGGAGCTTGGCAGAGTGGCTTCCAGGGGGTCAGGGGATGGTCTTGGGGCAGGAAAGCTCAACCCTGGAGCATCCCAGAGCAGGTACAAGCACCCAGCCCCACACATCACCCAGCCAAGACGTGACAGCCGTACCTTGACATCTTCCACCTTCATGCGTGTGCCCTCCTTGCCCACAAAGATGTCATCAATGTCCACCAGGATGTAGCGGTCGAGGGGCAGGGAGAGCCTCTTGCCTGTCAGGAAGGAGACAGAGTCCACGAAGACGAGCTTGTGCAACCAGAAGTTGAGGTTGTTGCCAAAAAGCACCCTCTGGATGCCGTCGTGGAGGCCCAGGTCCTGCATCACGGTGGTGTGCAGCGCCGCGTCCACGCTCATGTGCGGGATGGACTCGGCTGACTTGGTCTTGGCCAGGAGGACCGGCTCGTAAGTGGAGTGGTTAAAGTCCAGTCCTCCCCGGGGAGCACACCCTTCGCCACCTCGCTGGGGCGTGTGATGTACAGCAGGGGCGACTTGGGGTTGATGCTACAGTCCTTCAGCGCCAGGTTGGAGTGGAGGAAGAGGGGGAAGCCCTTCAGCTGGGCGCTCAGTAGGCTGTTCTCGTTGGCCTGGATGGGAGAGATGGGGTCTAGAGGAGACGGGACGCTGGGGACAAGCACCCAGACTGGCTGGGGAGGTAGGGGCTCACTGGGGGCACTGATGGCCACGGCAAGGGGGCAGGGGGTTCACCACCCT